TCAGTTCTAGTTCAGTTCTAGTTCAGTTCTAGTCAGTTCTAGTTCAGTTCTAGTTCAGTTCTAGTTCAGTTCTAGTTCAGTTCTAGTTCAGTTCTAGTTCAGTTCTAGTTCAGTTCTAGTTCAGTTCTAGTTCAGTTCTAGTTCAGTTCTAGTTCAGTTTAGTTCAGTTCTAGTTCAGTTCTAGTTCAGTTCTAGTTCAGTTCTAGTTCAGTTCTAGTTCAGTTCTAGTTCAGTTCTAGTTCAGTTCTAGTTCAGTTCTAGTTCATTAGCAGGCTTGAATTGAGATAAAAATAATACTGATTCAAAAATATTAAGGATTGTGTTAAGCCCTAAGTGAGCTTGATTTGCGTTCGTTTCGTATTTGATTTCAGAATTCACAGTAAAAATAAAGTTATGGTTTATTATAGATAGTGGAGTTGTGTGGAAAAATTTCCCGAAAAGAAAATATTTTTAGCTTAAAATAAAGTCGTTTAGTATCACAGTTTAAAAATTTGTTGCATGAATTTATCTACGGTAATACTCATTTGCCCAAAATAACATAACCGTTATAATTATATTTAAATGTTATATATATATAACAAAAAAATTTAAAACTTCCTGCTTAAGTTAAATTTAAATTAAAACTAAAAATTTTGCTTAAATTTATTTATAAATATCAATTTAAATGTAAATTTAGACAAACAACAAACAACAAAAAATATAAAATTAATTTTCAACTAAAAAATTTTGTTGACATTTATGTTTATTTAAATATAAACATAAATATTTTATAGTTAATATAATAAGTACTTTAAAATGGATTTAATTGGAAATAAGCGTCTACTGCTTATTTCACAACTTGCTTAGTAAGCTTTGGTAAGCAACTGTGAAATAATAAAGACAGCTGATTAGCTGTTACTGTTTCTCTTTTACTTTTTCTATAACTTTTAAGTTAAAATTAGTTTTATTAATTAATTAAATAAAAAATATCCCTAAAATTTGACAAAAATGTTTCTCAACTGGGACTCGAACTCCAGCTAGCGAATGAATATATTAATATACATTATTTTTGAAAAAATCGTATTTTTTTCGAAATTTATTTATTTTCTTTTAATTTATTACCTTTAATTTATTACCTTTAAACTCAAACTATACAATTTGTGGCTAAATAATTTATTTGTTAATAAAATATTTAAGTTTATTTATTTATAGAATAGAATATTTGTCAGTTATTTGTTTTTGCTTTTTAAACTTTTTAAATTGATTGAGTAATCATAACGCTAATGAATTTATGAACCAAATTTAATGAGTTAAATGTGAATTTAATCTTTGGCCGGGGAAGTAAGGCAAACATTAAAAGAGTCGGAGGGGGAAAAGAGAGCTCATAAAAGAGCTTTTTGCCGACACCAGATTTAAAATCATTAAACACGGATATAAGTTATCTATGCAGGTGTTGATTTTTTATAACTGTTTTTTCAAACACACTTTCAAAACTTCTGACAAAAAGCTTAGAAAGTAAGAATATTTAAAAGTTTTAAATATTAACTTTCGCCAATGCTAATAAAACACAATATGTGCAATTGTTTATTTAATTATTTAATAAATATGTTTCCTAAACTTAACAACAATCTAAATATTTCCTTTAATGCTAAATAATTGTTATAAATCTTTTAGTAAAAAAAAACACCAAACAATTATTTACAATATTGTAAATTATGGTTGTTAAACTCTATAAACAATTTTGTCTATAAATATAATTTATAACAGTCCAAATACAAACATATAGTATTAGAAAAAAAAGTACCAAAAGATTTGAACAAAATTGTTTTTTTCATCTAATTATTACTTAAATTATAAATTACTTTATAATTTATATAAATAAAAATTAAATATTAACTATGACCGACACGTTTAATGTCTAATTTGTTAATTTATTCTTTAATGTTTCGTTTAGAATTTATGACTGAAGTTTGTTTTAAAATAATGATAACACAAGAACTGATAATTAATTTAATTTATTTTAAATTTTATAAAATAAAACATATTTTAAAGGGGTACAAATATCAAATTAAACCCTAAAAACTTAACATTATAAATAATTTTGTCAAAAATGTATGCAGAGAATTTCAGAACTCGTCTAGACTAGAGAATAGACTTGCCAATGACTAAATACCCAACTGTAGATTCGATTAGATACCAGACTAGAGAACACTTTATTAAAGACAAGGGACTAGACTAAATAGAGACTAGACACTAGACTAGAGATTTGACAATAGATTAGACTAGACTAGGGACTACACTAGAGATAGGACTAGGCCAAAGACTAGATTAGAAATTGGAGTAGAAACTATACTAGACCAGAGACAAGTCTATTCTAAAGATTACACTTAAGACAAGATTACATACTAGACTAAGGACTTGGCTACGGACTGAACTGAAGACTACACTATACTAAAGACTAGAGTCTATACTAAGAACTGGTCTAGAATAGGGACTAGACTTAGACTAGACTAGACTTGGCTATATACTTAACTAGAGACAATAGACTTGAATCAAGAGACTAGACAAGACTAGACTAGATACCGTAGACTAGACTAAAGATTAAACAAGAGACAATAAAATAGAGAAAATAGACTTGAACAGAGAAAAGACTAAATACTGAAGAATAAACCAGAGACAATAGACTAGACAGAAGACTAGACAAGGTATTACATTATATACTAGAATAGAGTCTAGACTAGAGAATGCAGAGTAGACTATAAACTACACCAAAAACTAGACTAGTGAGCTAGAGACTAGAATAGAGAATAGACTAAAGACTAGAGAATAGACTAGAAACTAGAGTCTATACTAAAGACTAGACTAGAAACTACACTAGGGACTAGTCTATACTAGAAAATAGACTAAAGACTAGACTAAGTACTAAACTAGAGACAAGAATTGAGTCTAGACTATAAACAAGACTAAACTAATGAATTGAGACTAGAATTGAGACTAGACTGGAGACTAGACTAGAAACTAGACTAGAGACTAGACTAGAGACTAGACTAGAGACTTGACTAGAGACTTTGACTAGAGACTAGACTAGAGACTAGACTATAGACTAGACTGGAGACTAGACTAGAGATTATACTAGAGACTCGACTAGAGACTATACTAGAGACAAGACCAGAGACTAGACTAGAGACTAGACTAGAGATTAAACTATAGACTAGACTAGAGACTTGACTAGAGAATATAAACTAGACTAGAGATTAGAAACTAGACTAGAGACTAGGAACTAGACTAGAGACTAGGAACTAGACTAGAGACTAGACTAGGGACTTGACTAGAGACTGGACTAGAGACTTGACTAGAGACTAGACTAGAGACTAGACTAGACTAGAGACGAGACTAGAGAGTAGACTAGACTAGAGATTAGACTAGCGGATAGACTAGAGACTTGACTAGTGATTAGACTAGAGTAGAGACTAGACTAGAGACGAGACTAGAGAGTAGACTGGAGACTAGACTAGAGACTACACTAGAGATTAAACTGGAGACTAGACTAGAGACTAGACTAGAGGCTAGACTAGAGACTAGAATAGAGACTAGACTAGAGACTAGACTAGAGACTAGACTAGAAACTAGACTAGAGACTAGACCAGAGACTAGACGAGAGACTAGACTAGAGACTGGACTAGAGACTAGACTAGAGACCAGACTAGAGACTAGACTAGAGACTAGACTAGAGACTAGACTGGAGACTACACTAGAGACTAGGCTGGAGACTAGTGACTAGACTAGAAACTAGACTAGAGACTAGACTAGAGACTTGACTAGAGACTTTGACTAGAGACTAAATTATAGACTAGACTAGAGACTAGACTAGAGACTAGACTAGAGACTAGACTAGAGACTACACTAGAGACTACACTAGAGACTACACTAGAGACTAGCCTAGAGACTAGACTAGAGACTAGACTAGAGACTAGACTAGAGACTAGACTAGAGACTTGACTAGAGACTAGACGGGACTAGAGACGAGACTAGAGAGTACACTGGAGACTAGACTAGAGACTATACTAGAGATTAGACTAGAGACTTGACTAGAGACTAGACTAGAGACTAGACTAGAGACTAGACTAGAGACTAGGCTAGAGACTAGGCTAGAGACTAGACTAGAGACGAGACTAGACACTAGACTAGAGACTTGACTAGAGACTTGACTAGAGACTAGACTAAAGAGTAGACTAGAGACTTGACAAAAGACTACGCAAAAGACTAGACTAGAAACTGGACTAGAGATTATACTAGAGACTAAACTAAAGACTAGACGAAAGACTAGAAGCTAGACTAGACCAGTGACTAGACTGCAGACTTGTCTAAAGACTAGACTATAGGCTAGGCTAAATATTGTAATAGAGACTAAGCTATAGACTAGCAACTCATCTGAGAGTGACTTGAGTAGATTTAATATATATTTACTGCTCTTTTTAGCTGCCGAATATAAAACTGACAATGGAGTTATGCAAGATCAGTTGTCATAGCTTAATCTTAACTCTTATAGATCTTCTAAGTTTACCAATTTCACATATAACAGCTCTTTATACGAAGTATTGTTCGATACCTAAGAAACTTTTTCTGAAAGTGTTTAATGTGGATATGCTTTTAAGAGAGTGTAGTTTGCTTAGTTAGTTTTTCAGCATAATAATGGCGGACGTTATTCTTAAACTCAGTAAATTTGCTTAGGCTTCGTACATCGATTAAAATCCGTTTAAAGTTTGAACAGAAATTTATTAAATAAATTTAGTTTTTTATACTAAATAATACTAAAATTGACCAAAATTGATCCGTTAAAACGATATGAGATATGATCAAAAATTCTAAATAATAAAAAACTCTAGAGTTGTTTTAATGCAATTTTTTAATTAGATTTTCTCAATTTATAAAATGTGTGTTTTTTTTTATAGATAATAGTATATTTTGTAATTTTTTTTTTTTATATTTAAAAAAATTTCAAAATAATTTTCAATATTCACCTTTTGTTATGCTTAAGATTAAAAATAGACACCACAATTTATTTGTTAACAACATTTTTATTTGTAATTGAGTTTTTTAATATTTATTTATTTATTATAAATTTATTTATTTTTTTTTAATTTTCTTATACAAAAACTTTCCACACAGGTAATCGTTAATGAATTTATTTATACAGTTTTGAAATAAAACTCGTGAAAACCGCTTTAAACCCGTTTAAATAACCGTTTAGTATTTTTCCGTATTGTATATTTTTATAAATCCATTTAATTAAATTAATATTTTATATTAAATAACATTAACGTTTTAATAACTGTCGTTTGCAAATTTTAAAAATCAACTGAAAATCTTTTATATTGAAATGTACTTTTTATACAACGCTACAAAAAAAAAAACGATATTAAAACTTAATGAAAATACAACAAAAATAAATGATCGTAAATGTTGGCCGTTTTGATTTGTATGTATTTTTTTTTCTGTTTCAATTAAAACGCTGAATAAGCAAAACGAACTTCAAAACATATAGAACTTCTACAGGTAGAACTTAACAGAAACCAACAACAATATCAACTTTAATAAAATATCGTAAAAAATACGTTAACGTTCAAGTTTGTGTTTGTTTTACTTCTTGCCTTTTTGTTGTTGCTTTTGAACGCTAATGAACTCTCAATTTGCAATTGATCTAATCAGTTTTCTGTTTTGGCCGCTTGATTTGGTTAAATGATCTTCTTAGTGGTTGATTTACCCTAAAAACACCAAAAACACAAACATTTGAGATGAGAGTGATTTGTTATATTTTATTTTTTTTTTTCAATGAATATTTAACAATAATGCTCATTAATATTTATTTACTCTCACACTCATTAAATAACAATTATTTATACTCTTTTTAACGGTTACCTATACAAATTTAAAACTGATCGATTTTTGAGTTTATTTTATGAAGTGACAATAATTAATTGCTTCCAACTCATAATTGTTGAGTGTAAATATGCTTTATACGAGAAATAACTCAATATTTTTAGTTTATGTTTTCATAGTTTGTCAAAATTTTGACGTCACTGTTGATGGTTGTTCCGTACCTAGTCATGTTTTTTAAATAAATAATTGGTTGAGTCAATTGTAGAGCATTGCTTGCCTACAGAATGAAATGAGTACAGGGTGTGATAATGGAAATAAGTTAATCGTATGTAATTAGTTCGTGTTTTACTGAAGATTACCTTAAATAAAATGCTTAAAAGTGGGGTTTGAAAGGTAAGCCGATAACATAGGAATAGGTACCATTTCTACCGAGGCCTTAAGAGAAACAAGAACATTACTCGGGTTTTTATGAATAACACTTACTAACTAACTAACTAACTAACTAACTAACTAACTAACTAACTAACTAACTAACTAACTAACTAACTAACTAACTAACTAACTAACTAACTAACTAACTAACTACTAACTAACTAACTAACTAACTAACTAACTAACTAACTAACTAACTACTAACTAACTAACTAACTAACTAACTAACTAACTAACTAACTAACTAACTAACTACTAACTAACTAACTAACTAACTAACTAACTAACTAACTAACTAACTAACTAACTAACTAACTAACTAACTAACTAACTAACTAACTAACTAACTACTAACTAACTAACTAACTAACTAACTAACTAACTAACTAACTAACTAACTACTAACTAACTAACTACTAACTAACTAACTAACTAACTAACTAACTAACTACTAACTAACTAACTAACTAACTACTAACTAACTAACTAACTAACTAACTAACTAACTACTAACTAACTAACTACTAACTAACTAACTAACTAACTAACTAACTAACTAACTAACTAACTAACTACTAACTAACTAACTAACTACTACTAACTAACTAACTAACTAACTAACTAACTACTAACTAACTAACTAACTAACTAACTAACTAACTACTAACTAACTAACTACTAACTAACTAACTAACTAACTAACTAACTAACTAACTAACTAACTAACTAACTAACTAACTAACTAACTAACTAACTAACTAACTAACTACTAACTAACTAACTAACTAACTACTAACTAACTAACTAACTAACTAACTAACTAACTAACTAACTAACTAACTAACTAACTAACTAACTAACTACTAACTAACTAACTAACTAACTAACTAACTAACTAACTAACTAACTAACTAACTAACTAACTAACTAACTAACTAACTAACTAACTAACTAACTAACTAACTAACTAACTAACTAACTAACTAACTAACTAACTAACTAACTAACTAACTAACTAACTAACTAACTAACTAACTAACTAACTAACTAACTAACTAACTAACTAACTACTAACTAACTAACTAACTAACTAACTAACTAACTAACTAACTACTAACTAACTAACTAACTAACTAACTAACTAACTAACTAACTAACTAACTAACTAACTAACTAACTAACTAACTAACTAACTAACTAACTAACTACTAACTAACTACTAACTAACTAACTAACTAACTAACTAACTAACTAACTAACTAACTAACTAACTAACTAACTAACTAACTAACTAACTAACTAACTAACTAACTAACTACTAACTAACTAACTAACTAACTAACTAACTAACTAACTACTAACTAACTAACTAACTAACTAACTAACTAACTAACTACTAACTAACTAACTAACTAACTAACTAACTAACTAACTAACTAACTAACTAACTAACTAACTAACTAACTAACTAACTAACTAACTACTAACTAACTAACTACTAACTAACTACTAACTAACTAACTAACTAACTAACTAACTAACTACTAACTAACTAACTAACTAACTAACTAACTAACTAACTAACTAACTAACTAACTAACTAACTAACTAACTAACTAACTAACTAACTAACTAACTAACTAACTAACTAACTAACTAACTAACTAACTAACTAACTAACTAACTAACTAACTAACTAACTAACTAACTAACTAACTAACTAACTAACTAACTAACTACTAACTAACTAACTAACTAACTAACTAACTAACTAACTACTAACTAACTAACTAACTAACTAACTACTAACTAACTAACTAACTAACTAACTAACTAACTAACTAACTACTAACTAACTAACTAACTAACTAACTAACTAACTAACTAACTAACCTAACTAACTAACTACTAACTAACTAACTAACTACTAACTAACTAACTAACTAACTAACTAACTAACTAACTAACTAACTAACTAACTAACTAACTACTAACTAACTAACAACTAACTAACTAACTAACTAACTAACTAACTAACTAACTAACTAACTAACTAACTAACTAACTAACTACTAACTAACTAACTAACTACTAACTAACTAACTAACTAACTAACTAACTACTACTAACTAACTAACTAACTAACTAACTAACTACTAACTAACTAACTAACTAACTAACTAACTAACTAACTAACTAACTAACTAACTAACTACTACTAACTAACTAACTACTAACTAACTAACTAACTAACTAACTAACTAACTAACTAACTAACTAACTAACTACTAACTAACTAACTAACTACTTAACTAACTAACTAACTAACTAACTAACTAACTAACTAACTAACTAACTAACTAACTAACTAACTAACTAACTAACTAACTAACTAACTAACTAACTAACTAACTAACTAACTAACTAACTAACTAACTAACTAACTAACTAACTAACTAACTAACTAACTAACTAACTAACTAACTAACGAACTAACTAACTAACTAACTAACTAACTAACTAACTAACTAACTAACTACAGGTCGATTTGTAGAAACCTTTTTTTCACTAAATCTGAACCTTCGATATATCTTCACCCAAAGAACCCTTCACCCTCGGACCAAGTTATACGTTTCTAAATCCGAATATGACCTCAGATTTTCTCCATCCCATGGGATTTGAGATATCGTGTCCTTAAGTTTGTAAAAACTCCATTTTTACCTCTTTTTACGCTTTGTAAATATTGTTTATAACGAACAAAAATATTTAATCCACACCTACCTAAGGAAGTTTCAATCGACTATAAATCACTTTTTGATTCGACTTAAATCAATTTTTAATTCGACTTCAGGACACTATATCTCAAATCCCGGCTGTGATGGAGAAATTCTGCTATCAGATTCGTCTCAATCCTTTACAAAAGTATACTTTGGTCACTGGGTTAAAAATTTGTCGGCCTGTGTAATTGACAATAGAGTATAAATATACAATAGATAACTCGAAGGAAAAAGAAGTTATATCAGATGTTCAGATTTGAAGACAGTCCATTCTGACAGTAGACAGAATGGACTTTCAGATGGCATAAGTACAAATAATGTTGTCTAAGCGCTGTTATGACGTCTCTAAAAGGATCAAAAATAACGGGTTTTCAAACATCGGGACACTATAGCTCAAATACCATATGTGATAGATCTGAGGTCAGATACGGATTCAGCACGGCTCAATGCTTTAGGGAAATCGAACTTCATGGTTTCGACTTTTTTCTTAATTTGTCGGTCTGTGTTATACTTATGCAGTGTGCCTCTGGTAGCTTTGTCATAAGTATTCTGGTCTGTAGCACCAAAGATTGCGGATTCGATTCTCACCACCGATATTGTTAAGAAACTCGCCATAGACCAAATTGTGGGCCTAGGTATATATATATATATATATATCTTTGGATTTAATGTTATATACATCGTCCTTTCTAACTGTAAGAAGAAATTTTGAAAAAGTAACAATATATGTATGTTGGCAACCCTCACCAAAGAAAACTTACCAGACTAAGTGTGATTTTTGCGGTCAAAACAAAATATAAAAAATATTTATATTTTTTGTTTGCTAGAGGTACTAATTAAATAGTTTAGCAACAAAATAAAAAAATTTAAATTTTCCTCACAATTCTAACAAGTTTTAAACAAAATTTATTATTTTCATTATTTATAAACATATTACAAAAAAAATCCTTGAAAAATAGCTAAGGTCGGCGTTAGTATGTCTGTCCACCCACCCCGATTTCTGTTAGTCATATTAATGTTTACAACTGAATATTTACTTCACTGTAAAAGGTTCAATGTATATTTTTCAACAATTCTAGACCTAGACGAACTTGTTATACTTTTTTTATTAACAAAAAAAAAATTATAAATTAAATAAATCAACTAATAAAAAAAAACTAATTATTTACGTGTTAACAACTGAGGTGGAAATAATTAGATTATTTATGTAAAAAAAAAGTCTGAAAAAAACCTAAAGCCTTAGTGTTACTAGT